TATTAAAAAGGGGATGTATTGCAGGGACAAGTCTATAATTTTGCCACTTTATAGATCATTGGTTCGACCTCATCTGGAGTACGCGGTCCAGTTCTGGTCACCAGTACTAAGAAAAGATGTCCTTGAGTTGGAAAAAGTCCAGCGGAGGGCAACCAAACTAATTAGGGGTATGGAGGACCAGAGCTACGAGACAAGGCTACTAAATTTAAACATGTTCACATTGGAGGTGAGGAGATTAAGGGAGGATAGGATCTCCATGTACAAAATGTTCAATGGTGGTAGCAACATTAGCGATAAACTGTTTAAAATTAACTCCATTACAAAAACTAGAGGCCACCACCTAAAATTGGTGGAAAAAAAATTCCAGCACAAGGGGCGAAGGGGGTTCTTCACAGTAAGATCAGTTAGGGTCTGGAACTCACTGCCACAGGTGGTGATTTCAGCAAATAATGTGGAATTGTTCAAGAAACTTTTGAAAGATTTCTTAAGGAACCGCAATATACAGGGGTACAGGTACTCCTAGAATGAGATCCTAATAGGTTGAACTTGATGGACTAATGTCTTTATTCAACCTCAAATACTATGTAACTATATGACCCCTCCACCAGCATCCGTTATCTCCCCTACTCCTCACAGCAGTTTTGTATCAATAGAGGCACGAGACAGGAATGCCCTGTTTCCCTGATCTTATTTATTCTAGCAATAGAACCTCTTGCTCATCTCCTAAGGCAGAATTCTAGCATCCATGGTGTAGTAATAGGTGAAAATGAATATAAATTAAATCTGTCTGCAGAGGACCTACTTCTCACGGTTACCCAGCCCCATATTACGCTGCCTAACTTACTTTCGTTCTTGAAATCGGTTAAACAAATCGCGAGTCTCTTCATCAATGAGGAGAAATCTTCAACTTTTAATGTATCTTTGCCGCAGGGTGTAGTGGACTCCTTACGTTGCAACTTCCCCTTTGTCTGGCGCACCTCCCATCTAGAATACTTAGGGATCTCCTTAACCACAGATTATAGCTCCCTATATAAAACTAATTATATCCCCATGTTAAAGAATCTAAGGGAATCTTGTGCAATGATCCTTTCAAAATCGTATTATGGCTTTTATCTGGGGAGGCACCAGACCGAGGATTTCAAAATACTCTGTGTGCTCCCAGGAGGCAGGGTGGATTGGGTCTTCCCAACTTCCATAAATACGTTCAAGCTGCCCAGATAGCTTAAATAACAAACCTCTACTTGTCCACATAGACACCGTTCTGGGTGGAGTTGGAGAGTGTGTACAGTGCCCCGATCTCGTTTAGGGCGCTTCCGTGGCTTCCGCTGAGCTCATGCCCCAGGACTATCAGCTCTATGATGCGACATAACCTCAAAGTGTGGGATGGTACTAAATATTATAGCAAGTTGATTTCTCCTCATTTACCTTTACTACCCCTCCTGGGCAACCCGCTATTTCCCCAAGGTTTAGAGTCTCCTGGGGCATTCACTTGCTGGATGTCGCACAATATTATATACCTTCATAACGTATTTACTGGAGGAACGATACACACCTGGGAATCTATTACGGAGAACCTACATGCTCCGCCAGTGGAGTATTTTTGTTATCTGCAACTCAGACATTGGATCTTGTCCCTCCTTTCTAGCATAGTGCCCCCCACTCACCCAGATAGCAAGGATAACTTGCCACAAACTTGTGATAGGGTTAAATTGTAATTCTTGTTAACTTGCCGCACACATTCCTGGCAAGTTGTAGACTTGCAGAACACTCGCAGCACAAGTTCTAGTTGACACTTTTTGAATTTGTAGCAAATTTGCTTGGCAAGTCTACAGCAAGTCCTGCAGGTCTTAGCAAGAGCTCTGCAAGCTCGCTGGTCTGGAGACTTGCAATGCAGACTTGCTGCAATTGTGCAACAAAATTGTGAAGCTTGGCAAGTCTGCAATAGTTTAGCAAGTCATTTTCAAACTTGCAGCACAATGGCTTGCTATCTGGGCAGTTGTCTTTATTGGAGCATATATGTTACCACACATCCTTACAATCCAAATTGGTGTCCATATTGTACTCATAGCTTAATACTGTCTCCAGTAGACTAAACCATGGATATGTGCTGGCCTGGGAAGGGGATCTTCATAAATCCATATCTGATGTGGAATGGCAGCAGGTATGGACCGCAGCGGCAACGTGTACCATCAATATCACTTCCTTGGAAACCCCTTTTAAATCACTGTTGTGGTGGTACATGGTCAAGACTGGCACATTCACACCCTCAACAGTCAGCATTCTGCTTTAGGGGTTGTGTTGTGAAAGGATATGTGATACATATATGGTGGACATGCCCAATGGTGAGCAGACTATGGGTTAAAACGTTTCACTTGTTGCAAACCCTTTTCTGGACAAATATAGCCAAGGACCCCTGGTTTGTGTTCCTACATCCTAAACCCCCAAACCTTATGAAGGTTCAGCACAATTTGGCAGTTTTTGTTCTCCTGGCTGCTAAACAAACAATAGCACAAGCATGTAAAAAGCAATTTGTTCCCTTTGCGGGGGTGTGGCGTAGAATAGATTCCTTTTTCATCAATGAAAAACTGCCCAGCATCCTTTTGGACACCAAAAATAAATTCACAAAAGTTTGGGACCCTTGGATAACATATGCTCATCCTGACATTCCTCCTGACAGTATAACATTCCTTTGATCAACCCATTCTTGCCCAGAGGGGTTCTGCTGCTACCAGTTCTTTACTCTTGCTCTTTCTCTATTTCCTTTCTGTATCCCTTCTATTCTCCTGATTTTCTGACTTTCTCTCTCTTCTGACTTCTAACTTGTTGACTCAGTGGATTGTGTTGAGAAACCTAAGATGCTCATTTAGTAAATTGTCTGGTTTAATATTAATGTTAAAAATATAATTAAAAACTTTTGAAAGAAAAAAAAAGGCTATCCAGCATAGAGAACTGGGTTATGCTTCTGTGCACAAATGATATTTCTTCCAGCATCAGAATGCCAAATGCAGGATCCTAGTATGTTAGTTTTTTAAACTTTTAAAAGGAAACTGATATTTTGACCAATAGAACTTCATTATTACTGTTGTATATTTTATTAAATTAATGTTTTTCTTTTTTTTTCTGTTTTAAATCTTTAAAGCACCTTAAAAGAACATAAGTCCATTAATTTAAAAAAAAATATACCTTCATAACGTATTTACTGGAGGAACGATACACACCTGGGAATCTATTACGGAGAACCTACATGCTCCGCCAGTGGAGTATTTTTGTTATCTGCAACTCAGACATTGGATCTTGTCCCTCCTTTCTAGCATAGTGCCCCCCACTCACCCAGATAGCAAGGATAACTTGCCACAAACTTGTGATAGGGTTAAATTGTAATTCTTGTTAACTTGCCGCACACATTCCTGGCAAGTTGTAGACTTGCAGAACACTCGCAGCACAAGTTCTAGTTGACACTTTTTGAATTTGTAGCAAATTTGCTTGGCAAGTCTACAGCAAGTCCTGCAGGTCTTAGCAAGAGCTCTGCAAGCTCGCTGGTCTGGAGACTTGCAATGCAGACTTGCTGCAATTGTGCAACAAAATTGTGAAGCTTGGCAAGTCTGCAATAGTTTAGCAAGTCATTTTCAAACTTGCAGCACAATGGCTTGCTATCTGGGCAGTTGTCTTTATTGGAGCATATATGTTACCACACATCCTTACAATCCAAATTGGTGTCCATATTGTACTCATAGCTTAATACTGTCTCCAGTAGACTAAACCATGGATATGTGCTGGCCTGGGAAGGGGATCTTCATAAATCCATATCTGATGTGGAATGGCAGCAGGTATGGACCGCAGCGGCAACGTGTACCATCAATATCACTTCCTTGGAAACCCCTTTTAAATCACTGTTGTGGTGGTACATGGTCAAGACTGGCACATTCACACCCTCAACAGTCAGCATTCTGCTTTAGGGGTTGTGTTGTGAAAGGATATGTGATACATATATGGTGGACATGCCCAATGGTGAGCAGACTATGGGTTAAAACGTTTCACTTGTTGCAAACCCTTTTCTGGACAAATATAGCCAAGGACCCCTGGTTTGTGTTCCTACATCCTAAACCCCCAAACCTTATGAAGGTTCAGCACAATTTGGCAGTTTTTGTTCTCCTGGCTGCTAAACAAACAATAGCACAAGCATGTAAAAAGCAATTTGTTCCCTTTGCGGGGGTGTGGCGTAGAATAGATTCCTTTTTCATCAATGAAAAACTGCCCAGCATCCTTTTGGACACCAAAAATAAATTCACAAAAGTTTGGGACCCTTGGATAACATATGCTCATCCTGACATTCCTCCTGACAGTATAACATTCCTTTGATCAACCCATTCTTGCCCAGAGGGGTTCTGCTGCTACCAGTTCTTTACTCTTGCTCTTTCTCTATTTCCTTTCTGTATCCCTTCTATTCTCCTGATTTTCTGACTTTCTCTCTCTTCTGACTTCTAACTTGTTGACTCAGTGGATTGTGTTGAGAAACCTAAGATGCTCATTTAGTAAATTGTCTGGTTTAATATTAATGTTAAAAATATAATTAAAAACTTTTGAAAGAAAAAAAAAGGCTATCCAGCATAGAGAACTGGGTTATGCTTCTGTGCACAAATGATATTTCTTCCAGCATCAGAATGCCAAATGCAGGATCCTAGTATGTTAGTTTTTTAAACTTTTAAAAGGAAACTGATATTTTGACCAATAGAACTTCATTATTACTGTTGTATATTTTATTAAATTAATGTTTTTCTTTTTTTTTCTGTTTTAAATCTTTAAAGCACCTTAAAAGAACATAAGTCCATTAATTTAAAAAAAAATGGATTTCTCTTCAGAAAAAAACATGCAGTCCTTCCTGTATTGGCAATGACCTTGAGAAGCCGCTGCCTGCTCTTATGATATAATGACTAAGATCTACCCTTCTTGACTATGGAGAAAATCAAACCAAAAATATAGAAAGCAATAAACAAAAATAATAAAATAGTTTAAAACATCACATTTACAATTATTTCTCACAGTTCAAATTTGTTAATTCCACATCACGGTGACACTCATGCAGTTTTAGAGGAGACAAGGAGAACCTTAAATCAGTGGCTTGATTTTTGCATTATTCTAGGAGGAGGGGAATTCTATTTTTAACACACTTTTATACAAATACTGTATTTTTTCATTTTTACAAGAAGGAGTGTATTGTAAAAGGAAAAAAAAGTTTCTGAATACTTTCTCATGCTTTTTTCCAAACTTTTCCAGGGCTTGTAAGGGCCCATAAGGTGCAGTCACTTAGGCTGTGGCTTCTGTGACGTTCTGACTTGCTCACTGCTCAGCTTTGGGAAGGACAACTGCACAAATATGGCTGTAAATAGTCTCTAAGGGTCCATGTTTTTATTTTTTGGTAGTGAAGAAATTGAAGGTGGCCCTCATGAAGCAAAGTAGGAACTCTGCATGGAGTACAGTCGGTCAATTGGATTTCCTACTCGGGCCTGCATGGAGTTGACTTCTGAAGAAGCCAGGAAGCAGTCACTGAGGCTTGTTAATGAGGTATCACTGTCAATATCATGAAAGATGGTATCATTGCCTGTAAAAGAAACACATCATTATTAGTTGGATGCAAGAATAATGTAAAAAGTACAGTCTGTACAGTCAAAATATCCCTATATAATTCAAACCTTCTCTATGTTATAATATTTCACTTACATCATTTGATAAAAAATATAGGAGAAACGTAGAGCTATTGCCTACAAACCAGTAAAGCTGAGATTTTATTCCTTAAGTTGCTGAACGATAAAAATTTGAAAGGTTCCTCTGTTCACACTATGTACATTGTATTGTGAAAGTGGCAGGCACTGTCAGAATACCTAAACAATGCTTGCAGCTGATTGCCTGTAAACACTGTACGGCTGAGAATTTTCCAACATGTCTCTTCGACACTAGTCAATCTAACAAGCAACTTTTGTCGAGCAGATGAGGCAACCCACAGACCGAATTTTGGACGATTCAGCTGGAATTCGGTCTGTGTTTTCCCAGTTTAAGACTTCACTTCTTATCCACTGAAACAAAATGTATTTGGTTACTAAAGCCAAAACACAATAATGCATTGTTACATAAACCATTCAAAGAAGTTTGGAGATATATGTTTTTTCTTTCGCAAGTAGGTGTTTATTAGGAATTTGTCAATATATAGATGACAACATGGTAACATGGTAACATTCAAAAGGTATAGCAAAACAATAGAGTAGAGTCTAATACATTGTAGAACATAGTAAATCGAGAACAATAGTGTTCTAAAACTATTACAAGTAAGCAAGGCTTGTCAAAGCATGTAATTAGGCAGCTAAGGTATTAAATATGTTTAATAAAGAATCAAAGAGCTCTGACAATCGAGGGTTGTCTGTAGAAAGTAAGTCTAACCTAAGCATTAAGTTAAATGGATTGGATCGAACAAGATATTGTAATGGAAGGGTCTAGAGAACACATGAGGAATGTGTAAAGGGCATCCGAGCGGTGGAGGAGACAATGTCAAAGATAATGTAGATCTTCTGTTCCCTTTTCAAGTGCTGAAAGACAGTACGTGGGTGGATTGTTGTTAGAGAACATTACGTTTTCCGAGAGAGCCCTCAGCTAAGGCTTGAAGGTACCATTGAGAGTGCTGAAAAATTGACATGATATCTTTCAATTGGTCTGAGGTATATTCGCTCGTTAGGAATCTGGTCCAAGTATGGAAACATTTACCCGTGTGGGTCAGGTTGTGTTTAGTATCTAATTTATGGATTAGCATGAGTTGGTGTAGATGGTGTAGAGTGTAGATCTCACATCTGTCAGGGTAGGAGGTTGGGGGAAAACCAATTATGCAGTATGTTCTTCTTAGCAGCTAGGAGCCAGTAATGTTCCCATTGGGTCAAGGACTTCCTTGTGGGGAAGTGGATGGAGAGTGAAATAGGCATAAAGCCAGGGGAACACTCCCTAGGTATTACCGATAGCGAGAACATATAATTAAGTGCAAGCTGCCAAAGAGATTGGATATGCGAGCATTGCCAAAGAAGGTATCCCAGATTAGGGTGTGGAGTGTGACATTTATGACATTCTGTGTTCCAAGTAGTGTTGGCGGAGGAGGGGGTAAAGTTCAGAGCATGATACGCTCTGTGTATGATCTTAAATTGTATTTCATGCCACTGTTCGTTGATCATGGATTTAAGTAGACTCGGCCATCCCCTGATTAGAAGTTGGTGGGTACCTTCCGGTGTAAGGTTTAGTAATGGCGACCATTTAAGAGCAAACTTAGGTATTGATGGGGATGAGTCATGATAGGTAGCACCAAGATGACTATATATGTGTGATAGAAACATTTTTGTGGGGGGGTGTACACCCCTGACAGCGCCCATGGGTGAACCAGATGTTTTTCTATGGAAGTATTAGTGTAGTGGTTGGAGTCATTCAGCCAATACCGGACATGTCGAAAAATGCAGGCCAAGTTATACATGCACAGATTAGGTATATTGGCACCTAGCTGAGACCTAGGCAGTAGGAGTTTTGCAAGTGCTACTCTCTGTTTTTTACCTCTCCATATGAATTTGGCGAAGGATTTATTGAGGAGTTGGACGTCTTTATGTCGGAGGAGAAAAGGAATAGTTTGGAGGGGATATAGGAGACGGCAAAGCTAACCATGTGTATCAGGTGACACCGTCCCAAAACTGATAGAGGAAGATGTTGTCAATCAATAAGTTCTTGCACTATGCATTTTATGATGGGGAATAATTCAAAGTGTACATTTCAGAGGCAGTTTAGGGTATAGTGATCCCTAAATAATGGAGAGATGTGGATTGAATACGTAAAGGATATCGGGACAACCAATGTAGGTCTCCCCTATGGGCAGTCTCCGCAAGGTATAACAATTCGCTTTTGTCTACATTAATGTGTAGGCCAGAGAAGGTGCCGAAGTGTCGTATATGATCAAAGATAAGTGGGATTCGATTATCACGGTCAGAAAGGAAGAGAAGAATGTAATCGGCCAAGAACATAGACTGGAGATCGTGAGGTCCCAATCTAATACCTGTAAATACATTAGTAGAGGACAAGGAGCATGCTAGTGGTTCAATGGCCAGGTTAAATATGAGAGAGGATAGGAGGTATCCCTGACATGTGTCTCTGTGAAGTGGGAAGGGGGCCGAGAGGAATGTGGAAATGAAAATTTGTGCGTTTGGAGAAATGTAGACAGTGGAGATGAAATCAAAAATCTTCTCAGTAAATCCCATATGTTGCATAACCTTCGTGAGTCACAACCAATTTACGCTATCAAAGGCCTTCTCCGCGTCCAATGCCAAAGGGGCCAGTGAACGCAGAGAAGAGCCAGATAAATGAGTATTCCATAGCGGCAATAACTTTGCAAAACCAGACTGTGCAGGTGATATAAGCGTAGGTAGGATAGTCGCCAGTCTGCCATAATTTTTTAGAGAAACTTTGCATCCTTGTTTAACAGTGATATAGGGCGATGGGATCCTGGCATAAGGGGATCTTTATTCTTTTTAGGCAGTAGCCTAATATAAGCATTGTTGAACGTAGGGGGTATATGTGATCTCGCAGGATATGGTTGTAAAGATTAAGTAGTGTAGAGACATCATCTAAAAGTAATTTATAAAATTCTGAGGAAAGCCTGTCCGGTCCTGGTGAGTTTGCTGGAGGGGATGACCTAATCACCCGTTGTAGTTCAGTAACAGTCACCTCAGCATTTAGGAGAAGGAGATCGCTTTCTGTCAGTGATGGTAGATCCGAAGAATTGAGATAGCTTGTACGACCAGTCAGATTGCCTGGGTGAGACCCATATAGAGTCTGGTAAAAGGAGGAGAATAAGTCGTAGATAGTATGAGAATCGGTGTGAATCTGACCCTCATTGTCAGCTAATTGAGTAATGGGCGATGACAGTGTCAGGCCTCGAGCAAGGTTAGCCAGGAGTCTTCCAGACTTATTACCAAATTTTAACAACTCCACTTCCCTACGGGATCTAATTAGGGATTCATATTGTTATATCCAATGATCACATGTTTGCTTAGCCAGCAACCATGCAGATCTGTTATCAGGGGAATGATTATGTTTAAAAGTAGAGTATGCCTGTCTAACCAGGTTACAAGCTGATGTATACTGTTGCATGGTCAGTTTTTTACGTGAGAATGAATATGCCAGGATCCTGCTGCACAGAACGGCCTTAGCCATTTCCCAATAAAGAACCAGATCACCCGAATAAAGAGATTGCGTATTCCAGCCACCAAAGCCCCAGGTGTTCCTGAAAGGTGTCATCATGAAGCAAGTAAGCTGGGAATCGCCATGTTGAATGCAGATGGAATGTCCAAACTAGAGAGGCTCATGGAGACAGGGGAGTGATCGGATATAACCATATCTTCAATATTCACAGTAGAGAATTTCATGAGAAGTTTAGGTGATAGGAGCAGATTGTCTATGCGAGACATGACACTATGGGCATTAGAAAAATGTGTATAGTCTCGCTCTAAATGGTGCAGGTTGCACCAGGCGTCCTGCAATCTGCTTTAGTGTATGAAGTTAGCAAGATGAGCGTCTCTGGGATTGGTAGAGGGGTTAGTGTTAGAAGACGTACCCGAACAGTCCTCCAAGGTAGAGGGGACCGCATTTAAGTCACCGCCGACAATCGTATAGTGAGCAGTAAACGGTTGTTGGAGTAGTGACATCAGGGATGTAAGGAATAGGTGGTTATCCGTGTTTGGTCCATAGATGTTCAAAATATCCACAATGTTAGATCCCGGTTGAATCGTGGTGCATGTCCAACGGCCCTCTGTCTGGTCAGCTTTGTGGCGAAGTACAGAACATGATAGCAATTTGTTGATCAATAGTAAAGTACCTGCAGAACGGCCGGCTGCCAGGGCACCCAGGACAGTACCGACCCAATATCTTTGCATGCAAGTAAAATCAGCCGAGAGAAGTGCATCTCTTGTAAAAGAGCTATGTCCGTTTTTAGTTTTTTAAGATGTCTCAGCACTCGGTTGCGTTTGTCAGGGGATCTGAGCCCTTTAACATTCCAAGTCACCAGCTTTAAGGAAGGTCCCATAAGAAACAAATGTGAGTGAAAGGTTTTGGAGCAGCATTGTCAATAAGAGAGGAAAAGGCGTGTATCGGTGTCCCAGTGCTATGATAATGCCAAAGAAGCATAGTCCCATACTAGAGAAAGTTCGATCCTTACCAGCATCCGGGAGTGCCCCGTGAACAATCTCCTGTGTCATGGTTATGTCAGCAAAAACATAAGCAAAAAAAAAAGAGCAACAGAGAAGAATAGGTAACAATTGACCAATAGTTTGGAAAAAATAAAAAAGGGGGTGTAACGATGGTTTGTAGAGACCATCCTGAAGTACGTTGAAATTACACTACAACATGACATGGATGTTGTGTTTACGTGAGGAGGAAATGCTCCGATGAGTATTACACGTAAGAGTCAAATGTAGGGAACACAGAACATATCTTAATATATGTAAACGGCATCAACACGGCAGTGAACTGCCTAGGGCAAGGTGATACCCTACCATTTTCAGTAGCGGTGGAGTCATGCCTTTTTCT